AAACATCAGAATTAGATCGGGAAAATTTTTTTTAAATTTTAGAAACTATGTTTCAAGAGTGTTGATCTGTGGGGGTTCTTGTTCTATGTGCTGCGTCCCTTCAGGGTATAGGCGATCCTGGCTCGCAACAACTTCTTTCCTCGTGCGGCTCTTAACAGGTGGGCGAATCGCTGCCTTCATCTATCTTCCTTGCCCTCAATATCACCGTAAGGGTTAAGTTGTAAGTCGGGGGTAATATGCTGCCTAAGTAGCCTGCCACAAGCAATAGTTTACCCACTTGACAGCGCTGGCGAGTATTATATTTTGTTGGTGATATAAAGATTACCATTTCATTTCAAATCTCCGTTTTGGTTATTCCTCATTCAGTAAACCTTTCTAGGATACAAAAGTCTTTATTTACGGAAAGGAAAAAAAAGAAGCTGTTCAAACAGTAAAAAAGATATGTGCCGTTCATGAAGATGGTGCCGTAGCTGAGTGTAAAGCTTAGATGTGGTTCGCTCGGTACAGAAGGTGTTGCAGTTTATCTGGTGTGATAGGAAGGGTATTGTGTATTACGCGTTTCTTTCGTAAAATCTGACGATGAATTCACACTGTTCCTAATTGCACTGATTAAAAGCAGCAATCGATGAAAAATGTTTGAAGTTGGTGAATTGGATGGGTTTCGTCTTGCATCAGGACAATGTCAAACCTCATGTCTCTACAGACCCGACAGAAATTGGTACAATTCAGCAACCCTCATCGTATTCACCTCATCTGTACAGAAACCGGTACAAGTATATCTTTCAAATTAATCGTATTTCATTCATATTAATCTGAGTTACTTTTTGGATCAAATATTTTAGTCTTATTCTGAAATTTTGCTTGTGAAAATCTGATAAAAAAAAGAATTCTGCATAAAATAAACGACATGATTTCTTTTTCAGAATTGTCAATATTTCTTGGTAAATCACCTTCGGATTACCACTTATTTTGATCCCCACTAAATTCTCTTAATGAGAGGAACTTCAATTCTCTTAGACTACTTCATCACCTAGAAAGATGCATATGTGTGTGTGTGTGTGTGTGTGTGTGTGTGTGTGTGTGTGTGTGTGTGTGTGTGTGTGTGTGTGTGTTTCATGTTCGGCTAATTTGGTTAATTTAGCGATGTATGAAGATCTTGCTGGGTCATTTAATCATATAGGACAAAAATCACAGAGGAGTAATAGAATGGTGGACATTGTTGCGGTGAGCCATATAGATATTGTTCCGGCATATACCTGAGTTGGCAAGTATCCACCCAGTAGTTATCCTATTTTGAGGTGAAAAGTCATACTTATCTGCAGGGGTTGTAGTGAAATGATTGGTCGACGGAAGTTCTCAAATTAATAACTTGAATGGAATTCAGCATCGTTCTGCAGTTTCACCTTGCTTCGGAATAAATATGAATTATTTTAAAAAGCTTTACGTTTTGCATTCAATTGCATTAGTCAATAAATTTATATGTATGTAAAATTTTCTTTATTTCTCCTTATGTATAGTTTATCTCAAATGTCAACAATATTAAACTCAAGTTTTAGGTTAGTCGCGATAATCTAAATTTCAGTACTAGATTGGCAGCTAGGTCTCATCATTTTACAGTTGAAACGAATAGATATAACTGTAAGTCATATGTTAACAAATTCTATTCTCGCACTACTCGCTTGTGGAACTCTCTCTCTATATATAAGATGAGGTGTTGACAAGTTATCGGTTCGACCAAGCAGCCCTTCATCCCATAATTTTGATATTTGACTGGGAAGTATGTTAGGTTGAGAACTTTCAGCTTTGTCTTATCTACACTTTTGTCCGAATATTATTCTACAGCCACCTATTACCTATATATATATATATATATATATATATATATATATATATATAATATATTTTATATATATATATATATATATATATATATATATATATATATAATGGATTTAACAATAAAATTTTCCAAATTGTGTTACAGTATAATTGTCCATCCCATAAAATGTTAATATCTAAAAAAAAACCACTAAACTAATTGAGTTTCTTTTTTTCCAGGTAAGACGTTTAGCCATTTGTCGTAAGAATCACTGAAAATCATTTGAGTTATTCAGCCAGAAAGAGAACAGTAAAGAGAAAAGTAAATGATGTTCATTGAGAATTCATTATCCCTGGATTCTACACATTTGAATGTTACTTATTTAATTGAAATCTCCAACAAGGATAGCACAATGTCTGATTCATGATTCGGATTTCTACGTTTACACTGAGAAAGGGAGGTAAAATCCTACTGACACATAGAAGTACGGAGAGTGGTGTTACGATTTGCATTATTTATGTTAGATTTGTGGTCTAAATAAAGAAGAAAAACATTCTTTAAACAGTTGTAATGCCTTAATAAACATATTATCAATAGCAGCCCGGAGCATAAAAAAGGAAACTCCTAAGCAACTCTTTTTTCCTGTTTCATTCCTTTTGAAGTGTGCACCAGCAACTTTTCACACCGGAGCAAAAAAGGGCCGTGAACGATTCATATACAAACACACCTATACAGACAAGTCACACACAAATACATTAACAATTATGATTGTGTATTCCATTTATTTCTTGGTAAATAAGTCTTAGATTTCCATTTTTTTATTTTTGTCAAATAAATGTTATTTTGCATTGCATATCAATCAGTCTCTGTTATTTTGTGCATGTACTATTTCACCATTCAATTCATGTCAAATTTTCGTGTAGAGACTTTATACATTAATTATAAAAATAACCAGCCCAATAAACCAATCAGAAAGTAAAGCGTTTTGGTTTGAAAGCATTTTTCTTCAGTCGGCAATAACGATGTCAGCAACAAAGTTCTTGAATAAATCAACTCGTGACATAAACCAATTTCGGGCTTAGCTTTGAAGTGTGCGCCCAAGGCAGATTTACAAGTTTAGCAGTGAATACAATCGCGAAAATGTTTATATGTTGGGTTTCCTTTGCACCCAAAATAATGTGATATTTAAAAAAAAAAAAAGTGTGTTTATAAATGTGTGAATCTGCTTTGTATCTTGGGTTCAGGCTCTGTTTTTCCTCCCTCTATGTCCTCTTTATATCATTACTCACGAGCAAGGCATGAACTGAGACATTTCACTCATATCTGACGCACCGCAAATTATTTCCTTAATGGTGTAATTCAGATAAATGGGTTGCAGTAACAATGCTGGCGGTCCTGGGTATGAAGATAAACTAAATCCGGCAGCAAGCCTGCCATATAGGACTTAAATGAATGGAATCGTCCGTTTATGTAAATAAACGGAGAAGCGGAGTTTAGTAGAGTTAGCATTAGGTTAATTACTAAGTGTACCTTCGTGTAGTAAACCTTCTATTTCATTACTTACCTATGTGTTTGTCTTCCTTATTCATTTCCTTCTGTTATCTCGAAAACACGAGATAAAACAAAGTCCTCTGATCAGGAAGTTTTGAGGAGAGTGGAAGGAACCATCTCCTAACTGTTGTTGTTCCCATGTCCACCCTAACCCGGGGTGGTAGCACCTGTTAGGTTCCGGCTATAAAGGTATACTGAACTCCCAAACAGAAATCAGTCATTTTTTATAATAAAATGAGCAACAATACATTTTTATAGCAAAATGACAATCAATGCAACACTAAAAAATATGTAGAAATGCATTTTTATAGTAAAATTTACAATACATTTTATGATCTACAAACTACAGGGCTAGGCTACCAAAGAAGAGTTGCAAGAAAGAAGCCCTTGATTCAGGGGTTAACAGGAACAGGCGTCTGGGCTGGGCAAAAGAATTCGAGAGTAAAGATTATGAATTTTGGCAGTCAAATTCGGTCAAATGAAAGTAAATTCTGCCAATATTCGAGTTCGAGACAGGTTTATATTTGGAGAAATCAGAATGAGACTTAGAACACTGAATGTCTGCAGGTGACCGTGAGACATGGAGGGATTGGAGTAATGGTGTGGGGCGCTGTCTGGTCGGGGGGGGGGAGAAATCTGAGCTGATTCCTGTTGATGAGCGGTTGCATGGTCCAAAATACTGTCAAATATTAGAGAAAGGAATACTCTCACTATTTGAAACCCATCAGATTGTCAAGAATGTCTACCTTTATCAAGAAGATGGAGCGCCATATCATAGGAGCAAAGTAGCAAAGGCCTAGAAGGAATCGCAAATAATCAAATCACTGCTATAGGTAGCCCAAAGTACATACATGATTCCAATAGAGCACGTTTGGAAGCACCTTCACCGAAAACTTCGAAAGTGTGCAACCAAAATCACGCCAGTGGCAACTCTTAAAGAAACATTGCTAAAGGAGTGGCAAAATATGGCTCAGACGATTGTTGATAACTTGATCAAATTCATGAAAAATCGAATACAAGCACTGAAACTAGGAAATGGAGGACCTACTCTATACTAATTCGAAATACTGTTTATTTATGTTGAGTAGGGATTACGTAATTAAATTTTGAAATTGGATGTAGTTTATTTCTCCTGGCTAAAAACTTTCTTAGGCCACTGTATGTTTTTCGGCGCAGTTGAGTGAGAGACCAACAAAACTCCTTGTAACATCAAAGATGAACTGAAGGTAAGGATTATGGCAGCCATTCACCAACATAAAAAAGGAGATCGCCCAGGAGATTCCGAGGTCGTCTGGAGGCCGTGGTTGAAGCCAATGGCGATTTTATTGAATAAATTTACTCTTTAGTGTTTCAAGATATTTTTATGTAATTTTTGTAAAAAGTCTGTTAAAATGAGAGGTCAAGTGTTATTTTCATTTTTGCGTAATTTAGACGGCAATTTATCCATCGCATCCTCTATGTTTCTAAAAACTAAAAAACATGCCTTTACTCAAAGTATAAAATTATGTAAGAAACATATTCAGTTGAAGCCATAAATTTGCATTCAAAATATTTAGATTTTGGCATTAAAAACACCATACAGGTTGATATGCCGCTAAACAAAATCAACAAAAGTAACAATGCTGGAGGCTTGCAACCACATCACGTTGAAACACTGGTTCGCGTACGATCACCGAAGTTAAGCAACGTGGAGCCTAGTTAGTACCTAATGAGTGACTGCTTGGTAATACCAAGTGCTGTAATGTTGAATGTGTGGGTGGTGCCCTAGGTATGCACTAATTAGTAAGACTTTAGCCCTAAATCATCATTATCCCAACGAAAGAAATTCTTACAATCTAAAAGACAATTTTCTGGCTTTAAATAACTTGCAATTTGCTGGTAAGCCGTAAAAAAACTAATCAATCAAGAATGTTGGTCGAGTCACTTTGTTTCAATATAAGTTTACGCTTCATTCTCTTAAACTGACTATTAATTAAATTTGCCTTATTAATCAAATTTTTTTATAGCATAAAATGAATCCCTATATATTAGATATTTTCATATCGTACAGTTTTATCATAGCAAGCTGTAAATATCTGATACGTACTAAATGAATAGAATTCATTACACTAATCCTTGATATTAAACTTCGTCGAATTCTTCTGTCGACTTAATCACATCACAATCAAAAGCACAACGAAAGATAAACATTCTAATTCTAAAGTTTTTATTTGCAAAGTTAGAAACAAGAGATAATATCAAAATAGCGGACATAATCTTAATTATCATTTTTTGTAAGATTGCTTAAATCAGACGATAAAACAATATATTGTTTATACATTTGTTGCGGAATGTGTGTTGGAGAGAAATAGAAGGTTTGAATTATCAGAAGGCTTAAAATTGTGTGTGTTCAATAATCTTCCATCCACAACAATTAATACAAGAATAATGATTCAAAAACATAACGTATTCTTTCAAAACGTAACAATTGAATTTATTAAGTATTTGATGTACAAGCATAAGAGCTGAAGTTGTGATAGAGTTATGTCTCTTAGATTTGGAAATATTTGTATTTGAGCTCATAAAGTGAAAGTAATTATTAAACTGTAGTTAATAAAGTTTCTTTAGCATGTTTGGAATTGTGAGTTGTAAAGTTGGTAAAAGTTCAGAAGAGATTTCAGAGTTCGTACTTGCATGAATATTGGTCTTTAACGTCTGACTGTATTAGTTAAGACGGGAGTTCTTGAAGATTACATCTTGGCAACAAGGAGAAATATGAATGAAAAGAAACACGAGGGAGCTTACACGTGTTTCTGTTTTTGTTGTACCACGTGGGAGGCTCAGAACATATTGAGCGGGAAAACAGATTTGTCGCGTGCAGACGGTTTGATTGGTCAGAACTGACCAATCAGTGAGCTAGTTTTGAGTAGATTAACCAATGAATGCTTGTTATATATTTTGTAATATGGTGATGGTGAAAGTCACACAGGAATAGTGCATTTCCTAGCAGAGTTGACTGGCTGACGTGGAAGATTCCACACATTTGTACCTTTACAAGTTGAAGTTATTTTTAGCTAATAAGTGTCTTCCGAAGCCAAAAGCTTCTCCGGTTTATATAAACGATCCATCTTTTCAGGCCCATGCCAGTTTAATATTGATGGATGCAAAAAATTCTACCTTTGTATGGATTATCTCAACGGATCCATTGTCCGAAAACAAATGGTTCGAGGCAAAACAATATCTCTCCGACTTTTAATACGAACATCCTATCGTTTAGCATCGTAGCAAATATTTTTCTTATAAGAGATAAGGAGAAGATGTGAAATTCCCAAGTTAAACATACTTAGGATTGTCACTAATAACTGCTGCTGCAACTGCAAAATCTCATGTCATGAAGGCTTTGAACCAACGAGACCCATCTGGTCCCTCCTGCTCTCATGGTCGTGGCATTTTGACTGATAGTTTGTCCATTTTGACTGATAGTTTGTTTTGTCTTACGACATATAATCTAAATGGGTTATTTAATGCCAACAAGATTTTTGGGATATGCTCGTATGAATAGAATATGTATTCTTTGTAAGAAATCAGTTTGTAGATAAGGTTTTATTAACGTATTTTTGTAAAGAGTGTTTTGCAATGCGTCAAAACAGCCTCCAGCCCCAGATTAATCTGCTGGAGGCCCTGGCAGATGACGCCCTTCTGCCTGGTCTATCGTGATGTCGCCGCCAGTTTGCCAATAAATTAGTAGGAAGTCACAGAGCGTCGGAATATCCTCTAGCGCCAGATTAATCTGCTGGAGGCCCTAGCGAACGACATCGTGGTTGCGTCGTCTGCTGCGAAGTTGTCGCAAGTTTGCGGGTCAAATTAGGAGATGACACTCGTAGGGTGGTCATCAGATCGTCGCAGGATATCACCGAGCCACCGAACGCTACATAAACACACAGCACAATTATCGGTTTGGAACTTTAGGAAATTTGGATTTGCTTTTATGCTAGCCGTAATTTTCAGCCAATTGTTTTTTTACGTCTGTCGTCTGAATTCATTTATTTTTACTTTGGATGCTAATATTAATATTGAACAATAAATATTAATCCATCCTTTGATCTTACTATTAAATATTAATTCAATCCTATTGTTGTGTTATTCGCTAAGCACTGTACTCCAAGATTTGATTAACAGATCTTCCTATATGGATTTATTATTACCGAAACTGGTACAAGTATTTCTTTCAAATTAATTGTATTTATTTCATATTAATCTGAGTGGTATTTTTTTATTTAGTGTTTTTTTTTTTTACCAAATATTGTATTTTGGTGCTTAAATTGTCAAAATCTAATAAAAAAAATAGTATATAAGATAACTGAGTTGACTTCTTTCTCAGAATTGTCAATACTGCATTTGTAAGCTTGGTAAAATCAAACCGCACAAAATTGTTTTAATTATTTTTCCTACGAGGATTCTCTTTTATTATTCCTGTATTTATTCGCAACACCACAAATATCTGGCTTTTCGCCCGACCCTTCAAACTGGTTTTCCTCTTTTCGGGGGTGATTGCATGCAACCCAAATATTCAAGAGAAGGCAGAAAATCTCCAAAACGATATAGAACGTATGCTATAAGAAGGCATATTAAGTTAACCATTATTGATTTTTTTGTCTAGTATTTTCTAATCTTAGTTGCTTTTGCTCGCAGCTATTCCGATCATCAGTCTACAGTTAACAATAAAAACTACAGGTCGCAAATAAAGAGGAACTCGAAGCAATTTTGCAATCTATTTTACATTGGGAAATCTATGTACGACAGCTGCTCTGTCGTTTCTGCTACTGTTTTAACGGTTGCAGATCAAACCCAGCCATATAAACTATTTTCCAATCGCTTGAAACCACATTTGATGTAATGTTTTACGCCCACTACTAGCACAAGTAGTAGTGATATTACCATGAGTATTTTCTTTGTTACATGTAGCATTGTCAATCTTTATAGGAATAGTAATAAAATAATAAAAGTTGACAATGCCTCATCTAATGAAAACTTCAAGATAATTTACTGTTAAATCTTGCAATGTTTAAAACCTTATATCATACGAGGGATTAGAATTTTTATCCGCTTCAGTTAGCCTTAATGTGAATAGTAGAGTAATTAAGCTCGCTCGGTTATCTGATTCGAAGAAGGAAACTCCAACAGAAAACTTACATCCCATGAAGCTTACTAGCATCATTCTACTTTGATTGGACATGGCAAGTAAACACCAAACTACTTAGATATGGTCTTAAGTAGCTCTGAGCCGCAAAATTAATACGTTAGACTATAATATTTTTATAGCAAAACAAAGAATTCCAACTCTTTGTTATAGTAAGAAAAAATATAGTCTAATATGAAGACCATGCTCATGTAGTTTAGCGTCATGTATAAATTGGAAGCAGCAATGCGTGCACTACGCTCCATCTTCTAATTTCATTTCGCAAATTTGATGGTTTCTTAAGGACCCAATCCGCAAAGAAGAAGTAAAATTGTAAAGCCATAATTCGATCCAGAACTTCTTCATCTGTTGTGTGAAAATAAGATTCAATTTTTCTATCTATTGGAGATTTCAGAAAGTAATTGCCTTTCACGAGAAAGGAGATAACAAATGTAAGTTAAATTTATTTAAATATTATTAGGGTTTCGGAAAGTAATTACGTTTTACCAGAAGGGATAGAGAGATAATTGTAATAAATACTATTTACTAAAAATTTAATCGCCTTCATTCCCAACAAATGCAGAAATCGCTTTCATGACAAATTTGCCTTCCCGCCGGGTTACAGTCGGGGAAAACAGCAGCCTGATGGGAAAGCAAATCTTTGATTCCACGCTTAAAGAAATCTGCGTTGTTTTTTTGTTTTTTTTTCCTCAACTAGTAGTTTAAAAGATTATTTTCAGCTTCTTTGTTTCCGAATGTTCTGCCACTCGTGAAATGTTTTAGCGATTGAAACAACCTGCTGATGCTATATCTGGTGAGTGTGAAGGATGCTGAAGAACCTAACGATCCTGTTGATCTTATTTTTCTTGGGCCCCTTTTGTAGAACGTAGCTTTGCATTGTCGTGTTCGAGAATAACACCTTTTCCGCTTACTAAAGAGGGACACCTTCGACACAATGCTTTGTCTGCCCAATCAAGTCTCTGGCAACAAACTTCTGCAATAATGGTCCTTATATTTAACATTATTTCATGGGTAATCTTTCATTTAAGCGGAGTAAAATGAACTGCTACTCTCTGAACGGCAGAAAATCAATAAGACCAAGGTATAAACGTTTATTACAATTAAGTATTATAACAACGGGTAATTGTGGACTAGTCAGCAAATCAATACTGAAAACAGGGGACTGTTCTTGTACCGCTGACGTCACTCGGATTGGTGAAGATGCAACGTGAAGAACACCTCAAAAGTCCCAAACTTCAAACTTTTTTTTTATTGTGAGCTTTGTTTTGTTTTTTGGGGTTTTTTGGGGTTTTGGGGTTTTTTTTTTTCAAAACCCGTATTGCTGGTAATTTTTTCTAGTGTACTTTTATATTTTCGTGTTTTGATACCAGGTTGGGTGCTCACTATTTGCCTATAGCTGGGACCCTCAACCAACATGTATGAAGTTTTACTGCATCAGTACGCATCACTTTTTAGCAATACTACTCTTTCAGAATTATACTGCTTTTTAAAGTTTAACCATCCATGACGTTGAACTCTGAAATACACGGTAAACCACAAATATAAGAGTTGATGAGATAAATC